TGGGACGTTCGGACCAAAAAGGCTTTTTGACAAACATAGGACCCTTAGATTTTGTGTTGGGTTTCCACAACATATCATACTTTTTTAACCATGTAATAAATGTTGCATCACCCACTTTTGTGTATTGGCACATTCTCTCTGATGGCAGCTTTCAAAACGCCATCTTTGTTTCATTTAGAACAAAGAAGGGAAGCCAAATCACAACAATCTTCATCCTATAACATATTATCATAGTGGTTTTTACATTTTCCGCCAAAGGATATACAAGTACTATAAAAAACAATGAAATTCAACTTGAGGAAAATAAAATTCACTGTGCAGTTGCATTCCTCATTATCTTCCCGGGTTAAATCTTTTTTTTTTTTTTAAGGGGGAGGGGGGGGAGGGGTAAACTTCAGAAAGGAAAAAGGAAAAGAACATGACAAAAAATAGAAACAATACAAAAGACGTGACATTATTAGATGTTTCAATGCACTAGCTTACAAGTTAGTCCAGAGTTTTCTACTTTGTTCTACTTTGAATAAAATGAATACAGGTAGAACCAAAACAATGAAATTCAAATTGCAATTGCATCCTGATTCTTATTCTTGCCCATTTTTCTTGCTTTCTTGAGTTCACTTCTGGTAGTTTCTGTTTGAACTAATTGACCATAAAGTTATGGATAAATAGAGGAGAGCAAAAACTTCAACAAAAATAAAATACAAATTCAAATACAAATTGAAGAAGGCATTGTTTAACAATCAGGATTGAATGAAACCAAGCCAAGTGTATCAGTTTTTTTTTATTTATTTATTTATTGCCAAGTCATATGGAGAGCAAAACATGAAAAAATAGAGACAAACAATGGCGAGAAGAACTGACCCAAGATAAGAAATATAATTTTGACATTTCAATAGGAAAAAGGAAAGAAAAGGGATAAATGAAGAGTGTTTCCTATTCCATTTTGTGAAGGAATATATTTTAGTGGGACAAATACAGATTGATTTATAGACATGAATCATGTATCAATTGCGAAATTGAGGTTACTCAAAATTTTATCATTCTTAGTAATTTTGTAATATGATTTTGATATTGTCTTCACTCCCCATTTAGGTTTTAATATTTAATTTACAACTTTTAAGTTTTCAAATAGTTTTAAAAAGTTTAAGCTTTAACCAGTGTAAGTTGGCATAAATGTATAGTATATCATACTCTATACCTTACAGGTAGAAATTTGTCAAAAACGTAGACAAAAATAAAAGAAAAGGCTTTATTAATAAGCAAATGAAAATTTATAACAATAATAATTTAAATAAAAGAAGTTCAACTACTTTCTTAAAAATTGCTAAAGAAATTTAAGTATTCATGTATCGTATTGATTGCATATCTCGTACTGCATAGTGTATAGTAAGATACACTTAACTTAAGCTACATATTGATGAAATATATTGATTTACCTCTAAAATTATCAAACTATAAAATATGTATTGTGAATCGTAAGATACAAACAGCACTAGAAAACAAGCATATGTAAGATAAATCTCCTTTATTTAATGTAGGGTTGAATCCAAAATGAGAAAAGAAAAGAAATTAAATATAACATAAATACGAAGAAGAAAATACCTTTCGAAGTTGTATTATTACACAAACTCAAAGGTCACCATAGACTAGAGTGTTGTCAATCATCACTTTCAGCCAACTGTCTCCAATGTTCTCTTGCTCTTCCTTAATATTCCTGGCAGATTCCTTGGCATAGGGATTTGATGAAGATCATGGGAAGAAGAAAAAGAGCAAATCTGGAATTTCACATGAAGCACATTTAGGGCATCAAGATTTAAAGATTTGGAATAATTTTGAGTCTTCATGTCATTATAGTAGGTTTTAGTAATTAAGTATAATGTTAATCCCAATAATTGTTGGACATGGGCTGTAGGGGTCACCCATGGGTTTTATTTTGGGTCAAGTTATTTGATGGGTATTATATATAGGTTTTATTATGTCTAAAATAATCTTAGTGGTCAAAAGTCTAAGTTTCCTATTTTGATATTGAAGTAGAATTGGAAGTCAATAAAGTTTCCTATTATGATTGAAGTAGAATTGGAAGTCATAATTGGTCTAGAATATTCGTAGTTGGTAAATATTTTTAGTTTCTAAATTTGAGAAATAGTCCTTATAGAATTAGGAGAGTCTTGAGTTTATAAATATATGTGTAATCTAAATAATTCATTAGCAAAGTTAATATTATGAAAATTTGAGATTGTGTTTGTGTGATTGGCTTATCCCTTGCGAGGGTGAAGCACTTCTCTCTCTCTCTCTCTCTCTCTCTCTCTCTCTCTCTCGCTCTCTTCTTCTTCTTCTTCTTCTTCTATCCAGCAAGGTTACTATTCACGTCACTGTTCACAATGCTTAGAACAACCACCTAACTGCCCCTAAGCACTAGTGTTTTCATTCCCAAAACCCTATCCTTTTTCAAAGCCTTAAACTCCTATTTTTTTAAGTACTTTTGCAACCACAAAATCCCACCGAATCCAACCCTATAAGTCTGTTGTTGCTGCTGCCAGTATACTTAACCCGGGCTCACTACTTGCAAGAAAGTAATCCCTACTCGTCCTACATCAGTTTGGTATCTGAGCTTCAAGATCGTACTTTTTATTCTCCACCATTTTTTGGTTTTTTTATTTTATTTTTGACAAAGTTGTTTTATTGAATACCATGGTGAAAAACGCTGAATTGAATTCCAAGTTCAAAGCCTTCTCAAAAGCTAATGAGGCTATCAAGGAGGATGTTACAACAATAAAGTGTGATGTGCACGCTATCAAAACAACTTTGAATGGATTGAAAGCATCCATGAAAGATTGTTGGTTGCTATTCTAGAGAAGACTAATATCCAGGAGTAAAAGGATGATAGTGTTGAAGATTTTGAAGACACTATGAAAGAACAAGATGAACGTGCTGCTAATATTGAGGATATTGAAGAAAGGACGGTGAAAATTAATTTGCTTACTAAAGAAAGCATGACAGATCATCATGTTCAATGTTCTAAAGCCAAGGAAGCCAAAGAGAATGTTGAGAATGCAACTGAACTTTCTGTTCTTCACAAGAAAAATGAAGTTCACATTGAGTTTATTATTCCTGACATATACGACGTGATCGATGGAGTGCTGACAACAATGAACTTTTTGATTTTCTCATCGTTCGTTCCAAACAATCAAGTTGAATGGTTGCAAGTGCAAGATTCCATAATCCTTATACTTCAACATTATAAAACTCGAGGTTAAGTTTTTTCAAACGGAGGGGAGAATGACGAAGATCATGGAAAGAAGAAAAAGAGCAAATCTAGAATTTCACATGAAGCACATTTAGGGTATCAAGAATTAAAAATTTGGAATAATTTTGAGTCTTCATGTCATTATAATAGGTTTTAGTAATTAAGGGTATAATGGTAATTCCAATAATTGTTGGACATGGGTTGTAAGGGCCACCCTTGGATTTTATTTTGGGTCAAGTTATTAAATGGGTTTTATTATGTCTAAAATAATTTTAGTGGTCAAAAGTCCAAGTTTCCTATTTTGATATTAAAGTAGAATTAGAAGTCATTAAGGTTTCCTATTATGATTGAAGTAGAATTGGAAGTCATAGCTGGTTAGAATATTAGTAGTTGCTAAATATTTTTAGTTTCTAAATTTGAGAAATAGTCCTTATAGAATTAGGAGAGTCTTTAGCCTATAAATATATGTTTAATCTCAATAATTCAATAGCAGAGTTAATATTATGAAAATTTGAGATTGTATTTGTGTGATTGGCTTATCCCTTGCGAGGGTGAAGCACTTCTCTCTCTCTCTCTTCTTTTTCTTCTTCTATCCAGCAAGGTTACTGTTAACATCATTATTCACAGTCCTTAAAACAACCACCCAACTTCCCCTAAACACTAGTGTTTTTATGCCCAAAACCCTAACCTTTTTCAAAGCCCTAAAGCTCATATTTTTTTATATCCCACCACAAAATCCCACCAAATCCAACCCTATAAGTCTGTTGTTGCTATTGCCAGTATACTTAACCCGAGCTCACTACTTGCCAGAAAGTAATCCCTACTTGTCCTACATCAAGATGACATCTATTTACCTCAGTCATGTGTAGAGTAAATATATCCCCCAAACTAGATGGTATTTCTTCAAGATATGGACACATTTCCAATGATAAGTGTTGAAGACTTAGAAAGTGACTGGAGCAAGTAATCCATTGCACAACATTGAGCCTTATCAGTTTCACGAATTTGAGTCGAGGAAAGCCCCTACCAATTGTTGCCCATTACCATCCCCAGGCAGCATTACTTTCTAATTTGAGAAGTTCAAGGTTAGGTAACAACAACCCAAGGACTAATATCTCCCCCCACTCTATCCCTATATATTTTAAGGTTAGCCTCTTAATATTACAAGAAACTTGACCCCTCGGAGATTGGTTGACTGAAGTAATGACAAATTGTGTAGCTTCAAAGTCTCTAGGTGTCCTAAAAATTCTAGGTTAGGTAACATCAAATGCCCTGAATCTGATATCAGATATCCACAAAATCCGAGCTTTGTAAAATGAGGAGTCCTTGCCATTAAATCCTGAGCAGATCCAAATGGATCTAAGTTTGTGATGGTTCATAGGTTTTCTAATACACAGGGATAACTGGGATCCACTATTGCTTCTTCAGAACATAAAGACACAGCAAATATCGCTCCTTTAATATGAAGATGCCTCAACTTTGAAATCATCCAAAATTTATGTGGCAGAATAACTATGGTATATGTTAAAAGAATAACTATATCTAGGTTTGAGAGATTGTATATTGATGGTGGTAATTTCCAGTAACCATCCAAAATAATTGCCAAATACCTCAAATTAACAAATTGTGTTATTTTGGTTGAAAAGAACGTACTCTTGTACGAGAAGTGCAACACTCTAAGAAGTTTGAAGGTTTGACAAATAAACGACCACACATCATCAAATGCATAGTTCAAATAATCAATTTCTTCTACTTAATCATTGTTGAAGCACAAGACTGATTGAACAACTGCTGGGGAATAAGACTCACAGGCAACATGATCAAATTGTTCTAAGAAGTCAGAATGGATGCACATAAAACATTGGTTGTTTGCTCTATAATCACTTGAAGGAGGATAAGCATCTTCAGAATTGTGAATCCAATGTAGGAAATTTATTTCCCTGGCTTTTTTCAAGCATAAATCATGCAAAAGATCATGCATACGACATGCTTTAATTCGACCATCAAACTTTTTTCGAGCAACAATTACTAGACTTCTGTGAACTAGATCAATTAAGTAACCTTCCACTACTTCCTCCAAGCTTTTCTGCTCAATTTTTTGTATAAACCCCTCAGCTACCCATAACAAATTAATCTCTACATCAAGATTTCTTGATCTTCTGGAAATGCTACTAAATAGAGGAAACATGGTTTCAAGTGACGAGGTAACTGATTGTAACTCAGTGCTAGTGTGTCCAAGCACTAGTTTGGATCACTAACAATGTACGAGCTTACACTAAGGGAAACTTGTGTCCACCACTCTTCTATCTTCTAGTTCTTTGAAAGAAGACCAGCAATTCCAACAATTGCAAGCGGAAGCCCTTTACATTTCTTCATTATTTGCTTCCCAATTTTATTTAGTTCTAGAGGGAAACTTTCTTTCTAAAACACCTTCCATTGAAATAATTCCCAACTTTCTTCCTCATTTAGAAAATGCATGCAATGAGGATGGCTATCAGGTGAGGCATGCATAGCCACCTCTTTGTGATGACTAGTAAACATTACTCTACTTCCATTGTTGTCATTTGGTAAATACATTTTAAGATCAACCTGGGCACCAATATCCCATATATCATCAATGACAATGACATATCTCTTCCCTTTAAAGTGTTTGTACAAGTTTTCGCCTAACATTTCATTGCTCATGTTTGTAACCTCATTGGTAAGGAGATTAACAGAATGCAAAATGTCCAACAACATTTCTCTATTTTTGGGTACTTGAGAACATAGGTCCATGCACGAATATGGAAATAGTGTGTGATATAAGGATCATTGTACAGTTTTATGGTTAAAGTTGTCTTACAGAGTCTAGGCTTCCCAACAATTGACATAATGTGTAGCTGCTTCTTTTCTCCAGCAAGTTGCTCTTTTACAGTCAATGCCTCGTCGTCAAAGCCCACCGTAATTTCTTCTTCTACCATGGTTTTGTTCTCCATTGATGGCACTCCATCAGAGGACTTTCCATCTTGTAGGACTTCAATCTGATATACCTTGTCATAAAACTGCATCACTTTTACCTCAATGGGCTTAATCTGTTCCATGATATTACTGAGGTTCAAGCGAAAATCAAAGACAAAGCCAATTTTCTTACCCTTGTTATTATACCTTTGCCTAACAACGTTGGCTGCAAAAGAGCTGATGATTTCTCCCGTCTCGTAGGTCACACAGCTAGTTTGCATTGCCAGGTTTTCCGTTTCATCATTCTGCTCATGCAACTGCTTCTCCCTCATATCCTTGAGAATGGCTCCTAGGAATCTTAGATCATAGTAAAGAGATTGGATTTGATGGCTCTCATTTGCAATCAAATTGTCCTCACTGTTTATTAGTTGCTTCAGTTCCTTCAAGACAGAATCCGTAGCAATTCCATCCATCACTCCTCTTGTTCTCTCACACTCACGTACAGGCACAATTGTCTCTCTCTATCAATTTTTGGGGTCTGAAAAAGGAGTAGATTTGGGACTAAAATTAGAAAGACTTGTGGCAATTCATCCCCACTGCCACCCATTCCCACTACCATCCACAATGCAAAAAATCAAAGCCCAAAAAAAAAAGGAAATTAAAAAAAAAAAAGAAGCAAAAATCAAGCCAAATACCAGAAATCAATGATTGGTTTGAGGCAATTCATCAAACACCTTGCAGCCTGTGATTTTTAGAGTACCTTGAAACGGGTTGGTTGTGTTGAAAAAGAAGAAGAATAAAAAAGGAGCAACCAGGTTATTGATTTTGAAAGCAAAGTAGTTGAGCAAAAGCAGGAGAGAAAGAAAGCATTTGGCCCTGTTTGGTGAAGCACTTTTTAAGCTAAAAGTTGATAATTAGAAAACAGAAGCTAGAAGCACCATTTCCCAACTTATAAATAATCAGCCTTTTTGGGCTTATTTAAGCTATTTTTACATAATAGATTAGAGTAAATTGGTGATAAATCCAATTTAGAGAGTGACAAAGCATTAGGTCGAATGGATTTTTTTTGTTGTTGAAAGATCCACCATTTGTGAAATAGTTTGGTGAGAAGTATTTTTTTGTTAGTTTCGAATGACATTTTGTTTCTAATTTTACCCCTTAATTTTTTTGTTGACTTTTGTTATCTATTGACTTTCATTGACTATTTGTTCAAAAAATTTCTTATCTGTTCAATTTTTTCCCTATCTGTTTATATTTTTTATAAGGACATTTTTCCCCTATCTAATAGGATATTTTTTTTATCTATTCAAATTCAAAAAAAAAAAAATATCTGTACAAAATTTTTTTTATTTTTACATAGAGGTGGAGTGAAAGATAGAGACGCTTCAAAATGAGTGAAATCATCTGAATAAATAATGATAGGTAGTTTGATCATTTTGCTTGAACTTGTCCTTTTAGACAAAGTGTTTGAGCGTGTAAACCTTTGACCAAGGAAAATTCAAATTTGGATTTATCAACCGAGTGCCCTTTTCTAATGACAATTATAATCTCAGTTAAAATTACTATAAACCCTCACAAAAAAAACTCTTAGAATTGAACACCCACCTTTGAAAACCCAATGCCCATGATCTATCATTCATAGAACAATAAGGTTGAACAAAACTGGTGGAAAAGATTAAGAAAAGTGGGTATTGAAGCCTGATCGAGATAGGGTAGAGAAGGCTCCAACTGTATCTGTAACAGGCCCGCGGAGGGGGACCCCGCTGCTACAGTTCGGACTCGCGATTTTTGTTGTCGTGGTTCTTAATCTGAACCAAAGAGCCGATAGGCGCAGCGAGCAGATAAAGAGAGAGATTTTAAGAGTTCGTCAAAGAGGGGCACTGTCAGACACCCCCATTTTTGACCGCCTTAAGACACTTGGGCACTAGCTGCATGGTAATTGAACATCGAGTGATTAGAGAGATGCTTCCATCTAAGCGCTGTCATAGATGTAATCTCAGTTTTCTTCACCTAGAAGAGGGCAAAACTCCTTCAAAACACTTTGTTTAGGGTTTTGGAGCTTATAAAAGAAAATCAGGTGATAAGGGCAGAGGCAGAAAACTAGTACTTGGGAGAAGCTTCGGCATGAATCCGTGTTAGAAAGCGAAGCTCTCGAGCCAGTCCCTGCTGAGATCGGGCTTATCATGTCTGTACAGTTGGATTTTAGGCAATGGGGCCACCACCATCGGAAAGCTGTCTTCTGGGGCTTTCATTTTGCCACTCCAGAATCTTCCTAGGCCACTATGTATACGCCGGGTGGGCGGAAAGATATGACATCTCAGTTTGCAATAATCGGGGCAATTGGCTCCCCTGGTTGGATATATCGATAGTTCTGCGCGTCTGAACTAATCACGAAACGGGCATAAAAGCGCCCGAATTTTGGGTGCTGATTGGAGGGAATTTTGAGTGGTCAAAGGGTGTTGGCGCCATGTGAGGTAAAAATAAACTATTCACGAGGCTTTCGAGAGTGCATAGCAAACAAGTAATTTATATAATATAGGATGAAAAATCAAAATCTATAAAGCAATAAATATCTTAATCGTGTGCCGTAAACCAGGTTATAAAATATTAATGCCGAGCCGGCACTTTATTTTGGCCGACGACAACCAAATTTTCTGGCACCGATCATCTTATTGCCACCTGTTAATTTTTAGCATTCTTCACATATGGCCTTGTGATGGCATACCAGCTTTTGTTTACTACATTTTTTAGTTGGCAAAGTCTAATTCTGCCACGACTACTCCCCTCCAGTTGCATATATGTTGCTATTTTGTATATCACTAGTATAGACACACCTTTGGACCCCTCTTTTGCTAACCCCTTCCTGACTACATAGTGTCTTCATGTGAGGCAAATGCCTTTCCTGACCCCTAGTTAATCTTTGGGCTCTCCCTCAAAGAAAGCCACTGAGCCTATCCTCACAGCTTCTCCAATAGCCTTGACCTCCCCTCAAACCCCTTTGACCTCTTTGTCACTGATTGTTCGCATAAGAGCAGCCTCTAGCTTTTGCGACTATATAACGCGCGCGCCTCTATCCATTGTTGAGGATGTGGATTTTTACTCTGGAAGAGTCAAAAAATCTCTTGAGTACGACTTTGATAATAGATTATAATTCATGATATCAATTATGATAAAATAGCTATACATGAGCTTTATGTTCCCTTTCGTACACATCTCACGTATATCTCTCCGTCAATGTCCATTTTCGGAATATACACCTTCTGTATTCTTGGCCACATATTTTTCACATTCATCAGCATACGCAATCAAGGACGAGACACATATCGAGCCCACTAACTTGAGGTCTCTACTGGATGGCTGGTTTCTTTCAGAGCTTGGAGCCACGCTAAATCTTGGTTCACAGAGTGCTTGGTATACTGGCTGGTCGGCTAAAGAATAGGAGCGAGAGTGAGACTCCTCTTCCCTTTTCTTAGTACAAATTTCTTGCTTCATATCTAAGCACAAAGTAAGCATGATTGAGATAAAGACATCGTACATTGCCAATGTTTGAAAATTGACTTCTTATCCTTAATTCGCCAGCTTATCTGTTGTGAAGTTAAATTAATGTATCAACTATATTTCAAATTATATAGGCAATTTTTACCATGATACCCAGACTTTAGATGGTTCCCGAATTCGTACGTATTCATATTGGAAGAGCACGTTCTGCTTGCATGTTTGGGCAAATCCGACCCAACTGTAAATCATCCCTATTTTGATTGATCTGAGGTCCTCTTCATGTTTGTACGCAGCGTATCGATCCAGACTCGTTTGAGGACAGTCAGCCTTGCCCTAAGCTGTTCATATTAGTCCTCCTTGACGAATGCTAATCTTGCACATGAGAAAATATTTGGATCTCTTTACCGTGTGATTCTGTTTTAGAGCCTTATGTAAAACACAAAATAGGAGCTTATTTTGAGCACCATCTTTGCAAACATTGAGAAGGGCTTCATATCAGCACTTTGGGACCCCATGTTATACCTGTCCTTTATATCCTCTCTTTGGTACTGCCCATTTTTTAAGATGCTTTGCAGCAGCTATCATAGCTTCTTGTTCTATTCGGCTCTTTTATTTAGCACGGTTCTGTAATATGCCATTATCTTTTTGTGCCTCTTCAATGCTTGTGAGAAGGGAATTTTTTCAGTTTGGGCTGTGCACATCACGACTGCCTCTTGGCCACCTTTTGGCCCTTTTTTCTGCATAAGAGCCTTAGCCATAATCTATGGTATTATGTCATTTGTAACGCGTTTTATAAAAGTTCTGTAAAGTGGCTTTATTTGGACTTACTCTCTTAAATGTTGTTGAAGGGCACCCTATGCTGTTTGGGGTCAGCTAGCTGTGATTTTGCCTTCAAAATCTCAGTTTATATAGGGCCGTTTTTTGTTATGGCCATTTTTAGCCCTATTTTGCTTGCTGTTTGGCCATTGTCTATAATGTAAAAATGCTTGTCTCAGTTTACGTGTTTTTTCTCCTTCTGGCCTTCATTGCCTCCATGTCTCATCCATTGTTGCATGCCTTTTTATAGCTGTTAATCTAGCATTTTCGTTGGAGGGCCAAAATGTCACATGTACGTGGATATATGTCCATGCATCGGGTGTGTTTTCGCCTCTTTCGGGCTGTTTTACCCCCCACATTCAGTGCTGATAACTCCCCTGGTATGAGGGCAATGTCTTTTGGCATCATATTCATTCCCTATTGTACATTGCATATGCCATTGCATTGGCACATATGCACATTTGCAAACGGTTTGCGTGCCCGTGTGCAACAGCATTATCGAGGCACTTTTTTTTCAATCCAATCGTGCCTTCTCATGCTGAGTGCTGTCCCGAGGCTCTCTCACTGTTAGTTATAACAAGAAATCACATGTTGCATTTCTAGTATCCCTATTTCTAGCCATTTACATCTTGCATATCGCCATTGCCTCGGTATTAGGTGCCCGTTTGATGCAACTGAGCATTTTGACGAGAGCATCTTCATTTTCGCATCTCTATGGCCTCCTATGTGAGTGTGGCTGAAGGATCTCACATTGTATTTAGCAGTGGTCAAGCCCTATCTTGCTACTTGTGTATGCCATGGTTCAAAGCGTAATGCGCTTATGTTATGTTGTTAGCATTGTGTATATGCCATGTAAGTTGCATAGCATGCTATGTATTCTTTGTTTTGCATACCTAGGTTGCGCAATAGTGCCTTGGCATTGTGAATCCTTGCTATGCCTTCTTGCTGCTATCAATGATTTGTGGACAGAGGTTGGGCTTTAATTGTATTCTGATTTCTGGCATTTGTCACTGAACATTATCGACAAGCGCATCAACATATGTTTTCTTAGACCATGACCAAGCAATTCGAAATGCGCATGGTGGTCCGAGAAATCATAGGAAACATATCTTCCTCTCGAGTCAAAAGCATGATAAAGGGATGTGTTAGGTGGCACACA